TAATTCAAAAATTCATTCAATATTTCATGTAAGCAAGCTTAAAGTGTGTTTGCACTCTGGTGATGTCATAGATCATTCTATCATCCAAGTCCTAGAGATTGATGCTAAAAAGGCTGGTCTAATAAATATTCTCCCTCAAAGATTGATGAAAACATGCTAGAAGACAACTAGAGAGTTGTTAGGTCAATGGAATGGTTATTCTATACACGAAATTATATAGGAAATTGAGGATAACATGCAAAAAGTGTTTCTAAGTTTTGATTATAACTTGGATGACATTCTTAAGAAAGGGGAGAATTGAGTTCTATAGCCATATTATGATATGATTTGAGTTGTTTAATTTATTATCATTTTCATTTCCATGACCATAATGTTATGCGAGAAAATTGTATTGCTTTATTTCTTTTGTAGCCATTTATTGCAATGTTAGTGTTGCAATTTGCACGTCTTTTCTCTATGGTAGTACTGTCTTGGACTCCCTTTATATAAAGCTTGTTTAACTTGAGGTTGCCATCTATGGTTGTGTCATGAGGGAAGGGAGAATGACACAAACTATATGAATATTCTAAGAATATTCTATGGCTTGTGGGATTTAAGGGGAAGTTGGCATATTGTTTGTTTCAAATAGTAAACAATTGAGGATTTCATTGTTTTACTAGTATAGAAAGTTTGTCATGTGAGAGACTTTAAGCTTGGATCCAATCTTTATACCATTGCATAACACAAGTCTCATGCAAACATATACTTGCTTACATGAATAGTCTCTAAGGGGAAGGCATTTGCGGCTGCTCCAGTTGAGGTGAGTTCACATTATGCCCCTTTAACACTAGTAATTGTTACTTTGGAGTTTGTTTCTTGGCACTTGTCTCAATCTTGGCATCCTTTAGCAAGGTAGTTACTCAAGATCTCGTTTTTGGGTGTTTTTTTAAGTCTTTTCACCTTGAGCTTTTATGTCCTTGTCGTTAATGGTTCCCTTCAGAGTTTTCTTGCCCTTGTATATAAAAGTTGGTTTGGCCTTGTACAAGGGTAGTGTTGTCTCATTTGATGCTTTTTGTCTCTTTGCTAGTGATGTAAGTGCTACTAGCAACTCTCTTCTTTCATTTTCTTCCTCACTTTCTTATGTTTTGAGTGTCTTAGTGTTGGTGGCATCACTTGATCTTTTATTGCCATTATTTGTTACTGTTTCTTTGATTTAGAGCGGGATGGTAATATCAAGCTTTAGGGTGAGTGTTGTGATGTAAGGAAGCAGAAGTGTTTCACATTTGAGGTTGTCTTGGAGTATAGTCATTGTCAAGTGGTTTTATTTTATAAGCTTGTTGTAATAGTAGCTCGCAATGTTAACTTTTGTTTTCTGCTACAAGTCATTATGGAGAATTCTGATTACTTTACCAGCAAAAGTATCAACTTGCACATCTTTAGTGTAGAGATCAAAAACCTTTGCTACAGTTTTGCTTCATCAATCATATTACTCATTTGTAGAGAGTTGCTGCTATTGTAATTCTGAAGAACTTTGAGCATTCCCTTTATGTCTAT